GTAATTATTTATGTTAGAACTTTGTTATATTCTTTCATTTGTTTTTTTCCTGCCTTTCTAATACATTATGTAAACATTTTCTAGAATTTCATTTTTGTTTGTTTTAGTATTTTTAAGAGTATCTATGTAGCTTTTTGGAGGGGTGGTTGCTCATTATTATTATACTTTACATATATAAATTATCATAGTATATTGTCATAAGTATAAGGTCATAAAACCACATTTTTGACCTTCAATGAAACCTGCCATTAGGGGTCTTTACCTTCTTTCCTTTATAACTGTCTCAAAATTATAATTGTCTCAAATTGTCTCCTTTATAATTTTCTCTTCATACATCATCATACTAAAGTTAAAATTTTTGCTTTAACCATCAAACCTAATTTAATGAAGAGAGGCATGGGCTTTTATAGTTTCCCAAATTTCTTTAATTCCATGCTCTTCTTTTCTGTTTTTCCATGTTTCTTTATCTTATTTTATTTCTGGTTGAAGAACTTCTTTTGGGCATTCTCTTAGTGATGGTCTGTTGGCAATAAATTCCCTTAAATTTTTCTGAGAATGTCATTATTCTTCATTCCTGTAAAATATTTTCTATTAGTAAAGAGTTGTGGGTTGACAATTTTTTTTTCAGCACCTAGAATATGTTGTATCACTTCCTTATCATTTTATGGTTGCAAATGAGAGAGGTCTGTTCTAAAGGGAGCTGTCATTCTCTGTAGGTAAATGTCTAATGTTTTTTCTAGTTGCTTTCAAGAGTTTTTTTTTTTTTTTCAATAGTTTGATTATGATATGTCTTGGAGTAGATTTGTTTGGATTCACTTTGTTTGCAATTTACTTGGATTCTTGAATCTGTGTTGTTGCTTTTTGTCTAATTTGTAAAATTTTCAGCTAATATTTTTTCAAACATTTTATCATTGTTAATCTCTTCTCTTTTAGGGATTCCAGTGATGTAATTGTTATATCTTTTTTCATTGTCCCACAGGTACAGGTTTCTGAGGTCTGGTCATGTTCTTTTTTTCAGTCTGTTTTTTTTGTGTTGTTTAGATTGGTCTGTCAATCTGTCTTGAAATTCATTGATTCTTTCTCATCTTCATTCTTCTCTTGAGTACATCCAGTCAGTTTTTATTACTGTATTTTCCAGTTATATAATTTTTATTTAGTTAATTTATATCTTTTAATATGTTGCAGAAATATTCTCCCTTTTTCACTTAAAAAAAACAGCATTCATAATGGCTCATTGAAACATTTTTATGATGGCTGCTTCAAAATCCTTATCAGGCAACTCAACATCTTAGTCATGTCAATGTTGATTGACATGTGTTGATTGTTTTTTCTCATCCCAGTTGAAATTCCACCCCCCCCCTTCATATGATGAGTGATTTTAGGTAGTATCCTGGATATTTTGGGCACTATGCAACTCTGAATTACATTCAGTCTATTTTGTTTCACTGAGTCACCCTGGTAGTACACAAAGTCCTGGCCTGCATTTGTAGGTTGTGGTTATAATGACAATTTGGCATCCAGAACCTTTGTGGTACTGTTCTGGTCAACTTCATGTGTGTGTTATCCAGAGGCCTACTGAAAACAATATAGGTAGTTGAGGTTTTAAACCTTTTTCTCTTTTAACTTTGGTCAGTTTTTCACATGTGATTCATTATGGGTGTATTCTAGGATTTTATTCCAAGAAAACTCAAAAAGGCTGAGAGAACTACATGTAAGAGCTGAAACTATAAAGCTTTTAGAAGAAAATACATGGACAATTCTTTAAAATGTTGGATTTAACAATGATTTCTGAGATGTGACACCAAAAGCACAAGCATCAAAAGAAAAAAGTGAATAAGTTGACTTCACAAAAATTTAAAAGTTTTGTGTATCTAAGTATGTAGTGCAGAAAGTGAAAAGAGAACCTACAAAGTGGAAGGCAATATTTGCAAGTCTTATACTGGTAAGAGTCTAGCATCCAGACTATAAAAAGAACTCTTAGAACTCAGTAACAAAGAGATTATCAACCCAGTTTTTAAAGTGGGCAAAGGACTTGATTGGACATGCTTTCAAAGATATACAAATGGCCAACAAGCATATGAAAAAAATGCCCAATATCATTACTTATTATGGAATTGCAAGTCAAAACCAAAGTGAAGTACCACTTCATGCCCACTGGAGTGGCTTTGATCAAAAGAGTAGAAAATAACAAATGTTTGCAAGGATGTGTAGAAATTGAAACCCTCATGCGTTGCTGGTGGGAATGTAAAATAAGTACAGCTGCTGTAGAAAAGAGTCAAAAAGTTAAGCAGAATTTTCATATGGTCCATCAATATTACTTCTATGATATGCCTAAAAGAATTGAAAGCAGATACTCAAATAGATACCTGTATATCAGTATTTATGGGAGACTTATTCATAGTACCAAAAGGTGGAAACAGTCCAAATGTCTAACAACTGATAAGGAAATTGTGATATTGCCATATAAATGAAATATTATTTACCCATATAAAGGAAATAAAGTATGGGTATAATGATATAGCATGGATGAACTTTGAAAACATTATGCTAAGCAAAAGAAGCCAGACACAGAAGGTCACACATTGTTCAATTCCATTTATATGAAATATACAGAATAGGTAACTTTAATTTCTTTTTTTGTTGTTGTTTTCTTTTTGTTTGTTTGTTTTTTTAGAGAAGGGAAGGGAGGGAGAAAGAGAGGGAGATGAACATTGATATGAGAAAGAAATACTGATTGGTTGCCTCTTGTCCGCACCTCAACCAGGGACCAAAACCCGCAACCTAGGTATGTGCCCTGATCGGGAATTGAACTGGCGATCTTTTGCTTTGCAGGATGATGCCCAACCAACTGAGCCACACAAGTCAGGGCAGAATAGGTAAATTTTACATACAGCACATTAGTGGTTGCCAGGGCCTGGAGGAAGGGGAAGGGATATTGTTGGATAGGTATGGTATTCTTTCAGTATGATAAAATGTTTTGGAACTAGCTAGACATAAGATTTGTACAGTACCGTGCATGTACTAAATGCCACTGAATTGCACACTTTAAAACAGTTAATTATATATGTGTGAATTTTACCTCAATAAAAAGAAATGCAAAGAAAACTCAAAGAATTCCCTAGCCAGGCTACCACCTTCTTTGTACTTTTCAAAAAAAGGTTTTTTGGTTTTTTTTTTCTTTAATGTTTCACTTGGGTGGAGTATAGGGAGAAATAGGTCTACTCTGTCTTATCTCTAGAAAGTAAAATTATCTTAATAGATTTTTAAACAGGTTACTGCCTGATCTCCATCAATTTAATGAGAATGGGAGGGAGTTGAGGGTGGTGAGTTGCATCAACATAAAAAATATGCACAGGTTATTTGAATAGGAACCACCATTGTAAAGCACTGTTTGAAGTACATACCCTGTGTTTTTCAGACCATAAGGTACACCTAGGTTTTAGAGTAGGGGAAAATTTTTGAAGCAAAAAATGTGGTAAAATATTTAATAACATAAATAACATAATATTTCACCAGTGTAAATGTAAACAGAACTCAACAGCAGCATTAACAACCATTATTCCTCCCAAAGGGGGTGGGGGGTGCATCTTATAGTCTGAAAAATGCGGTACTTCCTTGCCATTGATGAATTCTGCAAATAGCCATTTAACTCAGTCTGGTCAATAAGACATGAAGGAAAGCTCTTTGTAAGGTAACCTTACAAGGAAGGTTTGTTGTTTTAAACATTGTCATGTATGGCTGTGAATTTTGAAATTGCCACGATCATCTTGCTTACAGCCTGCAAATGCAGTCAATACCAGGAATGTAGATAATAGAGATGGAAAAAACCCTTGCATTAGATTACATCTTTCCTCTGTTGAATTAACCAGTTCTGGATTCTGTAGTACCTCTGTACTTTCCAATATATGAAAACAAAATATATGTCTATATTGTTTCAGCTCTGAGTTTTGATTCTAACTTTTATTTGGAAGCTATCAAACTGCTGTAACTAATGACAGGAAAAATTGGTGGTAAAATATACCACTGCTTACCTATCTTTCTAATACTTATATAAATAATACTTCAGTCAACATATTGACATGTATAGCTTTCCCCCCCAATATTGGATTTTATTTTTCACTCAGGTTAGGATACTAGAAATAGTCAGTACTGTTACTGCTCTTGTTTACTATTTTCAAATTGCTTTCCTAACGATTATATGTATCTATAATATTAGCAGCAATAAGTGTTTATTTTAATTCTTTGAGTTCTATTTTTTGTATGGTTGTCATTATAGTTTTCCACCTTGATTTCTTTTATTACTGAACATGTTTACCATTTCTTCATGCTTTTATTTATTATATTTTTAAGGGAATTATTTAGTTGTACCCTTTTACTACAACTTACTAAGTGTGGGACTTAGGGAATTTATTGTTAACTCTTATTAAAACAGCAGGATAATAAATAATGTGTACATGATAGAATTGGTAGGAGGTTAAAATTTTTCTAGTGTTCGCTGGGTACTTTTATAACTAAAATACTTATCAGTTTATCAGTTTGCTACAAATAATGTTCACCATTTTTATTTCCCTTTTTGTGGCATTATTTATTTTAGACATACAAATGTCAAATTGTATTTAGTCAAGTGTGTCACTTTCCAGTCAATTTAAATGTAGGAAATAAACAGTAAGGCAAATGATGTGAATATATACATGTTATATACATGTTAATGTGACAACAATATAAAATTACAAAAATACCACACTATCCTGAAAGCAGAAGGCATTTTTTAGTCAGAGGTTTTCCATATATCTTCATATTTATTATATAGTCTTTGAATCAGTTTGAGTAAAAAAGTAAGTCAGACAGTTTTTTAAGTAGTGTGTAACATGTATTCATTCTCAATAGTCATGGGATGGAAACAGCTGCAATTTAATACAAGAGGAGAAAAGTCCAAGAGGTTAAAAATCTGAAAGTGTATGTAGCCTATCATTGTTGATTTCCTTTTATTTTTCTTCTAGAAACATGATCAGGGGCAAGTTCTGTTGGATATAGTCTTCAAACATCTTGATTTGACTGAGCGTGACTATTTTGGTTTACAGTTGGCTGATGATTCCACAGATAACCCAGTAAGTTGAAGATGTTGCCTTTCATTTTCATTTTAGGTTTTCTCTTTGTTCGTAATATGAAATTCTTTGTGATTTATAATGTTCACTGTTCTAGTGAGTTTAAAAAAAATTTGACAATTGTGGCATAATGGAAGGTGACTTAACTTTGGAAAAATCAATATATAGATGATGTATTATAGAATTGTACATTTGAAAGTTGTATAAATTTATTAACCAGGATCACCCCAATAATTTTAATAATTTTTTTAAACTCCAAAACAAGACAAAAAAATTTTTGAATGATCAGAGACTATCTTTGCCTTTGTTCCTCACTTTCTTTTTTTCTTTTCTTTTTTTTTAAGATTTTATTTATTTATTTATTAGAGAGGGAAGGGAGGGAGATAGAGAGAGAGAGAGAAATATCAATGTGCAGTTGCTGGGGGTCATGGCCTGCAACCCAGGCATGTACCCTGACTGGGAATCGAACCTGTGACACTTTGGTTCGCAGCCCATGCTCAATCCACTGAGCTATGCCAGCTAGGGCGTTCCTCATTTCCTTAATGTTTTAATCTGTAAGTTTATTTCCCTAAGTATTTTATATTTATAAGTCGGTCTAGTGCCATTTTTTTTATTTATGTGTCTCAGACAACTAAGAAATATATCTAATTATGCTTCTTAACTCAGAAAATTGGCATAGATTAAAATACAAATTTAATATGAAAATACTGATGTAAAATATTTAAAAATATTACTGGATCTTGAATCTTGAGTCTTATAAAAGTTAGCCTGCATTAATAAGATATTATTTTTTTGTGGAATTCGTGAGCTGTCTGTATAAATTTTACAAATAGATAGATTCAATGGAGACACAGATGAGATAGATTATATTTCAGAGTTTTGAGTTCTTGGGCAGTATTAAGTTTTCATATTGTTACTAATTCCTCACTAATTGCAATTGTGATTGTTTTTATTGGAAAGATCACATCATAGAAATTGAAGGTGGCATGTGATAAATAATAGAAATGTTTCATTCTTTGTAAGTTTATATGGTTATACAGTGAAGTCTTTTACAAAAGAATATGATGTCCTTTTGACTAGTACAGGAGAATCACTGACTGTTTTGAAGGAATCATTTTTCATAGTTTAAAAAAACTGGGAGGCTAAAAAAAATGGTTCTCTGGATCAGTACTTTATAAATCCATTATTGTTTTTCTTTTAATTTATATTTATTGATTTTAGATAAAGGGGTGGGGGAGAGAAACATCGATTTGTTGTTCCACTTATTTATGCCTTCACTGGTTGATTCTTGTATGTGCCCTGACCAGGGATTAAATCTGTGACCTTGGTGTGTTGGGACAACGCTCTAACCAACTAAGCTACCTGGCCAGTTTCTACAGGGCCTAGAAACCAGTTTATAAGGCTATATTGATAGAATGGCTATAGAAAATACAAATAACTCTTATGACTAGGGTCTTCCTCTCTTCCCCCACTTCACCCCTTCCTCCCTCCCTCTGTCCCTCTCTCTTTCCCATTTCTCTCTTGCTCTCTCAGTCAGGATCCTAGCTCTAGGAAATAAATATGAAATGTTAAATATTATTTATTCTTAGCATAATTTATTGATTTTTTAATTGAAAACTGTGAGGATGATGTGGATGAAACAAAGCAAGGGGCCAGGTAATCTCAATGGAAATAAACCCTTTTGTACTGAACTAAAATATAAATAAACTTTCCTCAAACTTTGAAGTCTTTATCAGATGACTTGAGCTTCTCAAAGGGTCTAGAGAAATAGTTTTATTTCTCAATAAGTTAAACACATGTGAAAGTAGAAGTGAGAACAAATGTCAGTAATGAAACTTTTTCCAGAAAGATAAATTGTAAGCCAGGCAAACATCTAAAAAGTGACTGCTAGACCTCACTATAGGCAGATTTGGGGTAAAAATAGATAATCCTTAGATTATCTTGCTGACACTGATAGGTCAGACTGTTTATTATATAAGCCTATCTTTAGATTGCTTGGAGAAGTGACAAGATAACAAATGAAAGAAACCAGCTACTTAATACCACATTCACTGCCATGAGTGTGAAACACCAATTCCTGAGAAAGTATTCTGGAAGGACTGAGATCACTCACATGTATTATAAGAGATAAAAATTATATCATATCAGTTTGTATACAAGAAGACGTTTCTCTTCTAAAACAATTACAGCAGGATGAATGTGGGGAAGCAGAGGTATTTTGAGCTGGATTGATTTTTTTGCTCTCCCCTACTTATCCTTAGTTTGTCATTCTTTTCTATCTTGAACATTCCTTCCCAAATAAGATATATTCCCAGGTCCAATGATCCAATTGCTAATGACCCAAAATAAGTCTTCCCCCAAATAATAGAACTTTAAAGACTTAGAGCCTTAGAGATTATCTTGTCTAACATGTTTATTTTTCATCGGACATTATCTCAGTCCAAGGGGATAAAAAGTCCAAGCATTAATGAAACTAGACTTGGGTCTCTTACCTCCCCACACAATTTTTCCATAGCACTACAATTACAATATTTAAATATTCAGAAGAATCTGTGAAACGCCAAAATGTGTCCAAGAAAGGACCTTTAGAGTACAAATGTAAGTAGTGTCTCATTTCTGGTTGTCAGTATGAAATATATCAAGACTTCTAGGATAAATAATGGACTGAGGGAAATGGAAGTAATTCTTAAAAAGAGCAAGGAGTGAGGGAGTAACTTTTATGAAACATCCACTGTGGACTTTATAAGCCAAATTTTCTCAATAATCTTATGAATGTATCATTGAAATTCTTTTAAAGATGAAAGACTGAGACTTACAAACTTGTTAAGTGGCACAGATAATTAAGTAGCTGAGAAAGGATTCGAACTCACATCTTTCTGACTCAAAATCCTATGTGTTCCCTACTGCAAAATGTTGCTTCCCAAGAGATGATACATATAGATGTGCACGTCTGATAAAAATGAATGTATTGAGGAGAGGAGGTAACCATGCAATAAAATTACCAGCAGTGATCAAAAAGAATTTGGTAATGTTCTGAAAGAATTCTTGTTAATCCTTAGTTCAGAGTTTTTTCATCTTAAAGCTTATGTGTGTTATACATACATGCATATATATATATATATAATGTATATGTTTCATGTGTATATTATACATACTTTTAGAGGATCAGAATTAATATTGCCTTAGAAATAAGCATACATTAAAATTAACTTATAACTGATAAACTAAAAGAGCCTAGGATGTTATTAAGGTCTTATACATAGGAGATATAGATTCATAGTTCACTATTTTTTTCTTTAGACCCTTCCTTGGTAATGAGTTCCACTGCAACAAACAAAATTACTTAAAGCAAAGCTTTGACTTTTTAAAAATTTCTCTTGCTTTCATTTAAAATCTGTCTGTCACAGCTATAGCTTTTTACCATAATGTCTTGTACAATAACAGTACTCAGTAAATGTTGAGTGAGCAAAATAACGAGTAATATGGTTATACTTTATTCACAATTTCTGCAGTTTTTAAGCACATAAAAATAGCCGTTTCTTTTTTTTTAAGATTTTATTTATTTATTTTTAGAGAGAGGAGAAGGAAAGGAGAAAGAGTGGGAGAGAAACATCAATATGGGATTGTCTCTCACTTGCCTCCTACTGGGGACCTGGCCTGCAACTCAGGCATGTGCTCTGACTGGGGAGTTGAACCAGCGACCCTTTTGTTCACAGGCCAGTACTCAATTCACCGAGCCACACCAGCCAGGGCTAAAAGTGGCTGTTTGTTAGTGGCCTTTATCAACATGATATTTATTAGAGCTTTGAGATTATATGAGAGTATTATTCCTGTGCATTTACTTTTTCTTCCCCCAAAGTGAATTACAGTGCCTTTCAGTAGGATAAAGAGTAAGTTATAATTACTACTGACTTGTTTTTCTGCAGTTTCATTCTTCTGATTGTTTGTGTTGGGGTCATGATGATTTACTGTTTTCAGTTTACTGTTACAGTTACTGTTACAGGATATGTTTTCATACCCTGTAATCCCTGTTGCTTTCAAACTTGACCTTACAATAGAATCACCTGAAGGCTTCTTAAAATGCAGATTTCTGGGCCTCTCTGCCTGGAGTTTCTGATTCAGAAAATCTGGTGTGGAGCTCAATAATATGCAACAAGCAAATCCCCTTAAAATGATAATGCTGCTAGTCCAAGGAACCACATTTTGAAAATCACTCCTCTAACCCAATAGGCTAATGATTAAAACTACTGAAGTAAGAAATAATTTATATAGAACAGCTTGGTTTATCCTTTGAAGATTCCTTTTTACATGACTCCAAGTTCTTGAATTATTTCATCAGGTTTGAGGAAATATAGGAAAAGTCACATAGAAGATGATCGTTTTTCAACAAGTCATGTTTTAATACAACATGGTTGCTAAAATATTTGCTTTTATTTCACATGCCAGTATTTCTTTCGTATTCCTTTCATTTATTTCTACTGTAAAACCTTAACTGAGGCTCTTATTACCTATTTGTATAAACCTCTTTGGTTACTTACCAAATGTTACATGTTTTACTTTTGGTCTTTTTTAACCTTGTTTCATTTTAGCAGGGAATGACACAGGGATCTGGGGTATAGAGATGTCTTTCCGAGAGAATGGGCAATGTACAGAATTCCAGAGTGAAGAGTGTCGCATTTGAGGAACTGGAAATATTTTTTCATATTGATGGAATATAGAGCAAGGAGAGAAAATGGGTTAAAGATAAGGTTTGAGTAGTGGATTAGATCATTAAGTGCCTTTTAATCTGTGGTAAGATTATAGTCACCCAAGGATTTATTTACATAGTTAACATGAGACTTGTATGTATTTTAGACCTCACTCTGGTTACAGTGTAGCCAGTAACATATAGAGTTACAAACTAGAGATAGTTGCAGTAATGAAGTCACTAGTGTTACCAGAACAAAAGCCAACAAGGGTGGTGAGTTTGTTGCCTGCCACTTACAGAGAAACCAGAAGTCTGA